ACGAGGACCCGCTCCCCGAGGGCTGGGAGATTCGTTACACTCGTGAGGGAGTGCGCTACTTTGTGGATCATAACACACGCACCACGACCTTCAGTGACCCGCGGACGGGCAAATCTGCCGTGTGAGTCCATCAGTGTCACAGTAGTTATGTTTCGATCTAAACTGGCACGGAATATCAGTAATAGAAGAGTTTCTGCTCAATTAATTTTCACCATAATAAATGAATTAAACGCTGTCATGTGATTTTGTGTTCTGATGCCTGATGTTTGTGAACACAATCGTGCGAGATAGTTTCGGGAGTTGATTATACCGAAGTATTTTGATGACAAATTTTGACTCAGGCTTTTCAGAATGACTAAATCAATACCAGTTTGTGGGATCGTATAGTACATTTCTCTGTGATGAGATTGGCCCTCTGCTCAGTCCAGTTATCCAATCACTGCATCTGATCAAAATCACATGAGTTTTTTTTGTCGTGCGTCCAGGAATTTATTCACTGAATGTGTCTTGCATGTATCCAACAATAAAAATAAAAAAAAATCCACTTCTTTTATGCACATTTTATTGTGCATTTTGGCATTTCAAATACATAGATGGAAATGTATTGACATTGTGTTCCTCTAATGAATGTGTGTGTGTGTGTGTTGCACAGCTCTAAAGGTCCACAGATCGCATACGAGCGAAGCTTCCGGTGGAAACTGGCGCATTTCCGTTATTTGTGTCAGGTAACCCTCACTCAGCTCTTCAACACGAGTGTGAGTGTGTGTGAGTGTGTGTGTGTGTGTGTGTGTGTGTGTGAGAGTGTGTGCGTGTGTGTGTGTGTGTGTGAATACACACAGACTCATGGGGACTCATGTCACGGTGGGGCCCTAAATTGAGGTCCCCATGGGTAAACAAGCTAATAAATCACACAGAATGAAGGTTTTGAAAATCAAAAAATGCTGAAAGTTTCCTGTAAGGGGTAGGTTTAGGCGTAAGGTTGGTGTAGGGCAATAGAATATACAGTCTGTAGAGTAGAAAAACCATTACGCCTATGGAGAGTCCCCACAAGGATAGCAAACCAGACATGTGTGAGAGTGTGTGTGTGTGTGTGTGATTGTGTGTGTGTGTTTTTCAAACACGTTGTCTGTGTGTCTGCAGTCCAACGCTCTGGGCAGCCATGTGAAGATCACCGTGTCCCGACAGACGCTGTTTGAAGACTCGTTCCAGCAGGTCTGAGAAACACACAGCAGAAGCTCAGTCTGTTTCTGAATGTCTCATTTACTGGTTCTGTTTTCCTCATTACTGTAGATCATGAACTTTAAACCGTATGACCTGAGGAGACGTCTGTACATTATCTTCAGAGGAGAGGAGGGACTGGACTACGGAGGCCTCGCTCGGTACGACACACACAGAGAATCAGATCAACACCGGCCATACAGAACACACACACACACACACTCACACTCACACATACAGACACACACTCACACATACCGACACACACACACAGACACTCACACATACACACACACAGACACAGACACACACTCACACAGACACACATACAGACACACACACACACACACACA